AACAGATGACAGAGAAAGAGAGAGAGCAAGAACTGTTCAATCGCATAGAGAAGAGGGAGGTGTTGAAAAGAAGGTAAGGTTGAGTCCTCGTTGCCCCCGCTTCTGCCCCTGCCTTTTCTGTTCATTTCTTTTTTATTTTTATTTATTTTTTTATTTAAAGGTGGGGTTTCACCGTGATGGCCAGGCTGGTCTTGAACTCCTGACCTCAGGTGATCTACCCATCTCGGCCTCCCAAAGTGTTAGGATTACAGGTGTGAGCCATAGCGCCTGGCTCTGTTCATTTCTTATGTCATACTTCCTTTGTCGTTGACACCTGACCTACATATGGGGTCTGGCATTTGGAATTGATTATTAACATGATGAGAAGCAAATGATGTATTAAATTTCATTCATTGTTTACTCAGTGCCACTGGCTTTATTTAGTAATATATGTCATTCAGAAGGTTTTATTCATAAGACATCATATATGTGCATTATGTAATCTTCACAACAGCTCTGTGAAGTTGGTTATACCATGTTACAGAGGTAGAAGCTTAGGCTTAGAGACATTAGGTAACTAAAGAGTAAGTTGCATGAAGGGACAGACTTAGTCCTGTTCGCTCCTCTATTCCTGGTGCCTAGAACAGTGCCTGGCCCAGAGATATGCACTAAATACTCATTGAGTAAAAGAATGAAGAAACTTGTCCAAGGTCATCTAGCTGGCAAGTGGTAGTACTGTATTTCAAAACTGGGACCATCTGACACTATAAAACACACTGTGGCCACATCCTCTCCTTCCTCACATTTCCTATTATTTTACCTATTCTGTAACACAAACACTACAAGCAGCATTCTAAAGGGATTACACACTTTGGAAGGCCCAGACAGGTGGATCGCCTGAGGTCAGGAGTTCCAGACTAGCCTGGCCAACATGGCAAAACCCTGTCTCTACTAAAAATACAAAAAAATGGCCGGGCGCGGTGGCTCAAGCCTGTAATCCCAGCACTTTGGGAGGCCGAGGCGGGTGGATCACCTGAGGTCAGGAGTTCGAGACCAGCCTGACCAATATGGTGAAACCCCGTCTTAAAAAAAAAAAAAAGAAAGAAAGAGGAAGACATAATTGCTGATGAACACACAGAGAAAACAGAAACAGGAAAAAGATGATGCTCATGTCGTTTCCTAATGAAACCCAAACAAATGAGGAAGACTTGAATTATAGTTAAAGACCAATTTCTAAAAATCAGAATCATACAGGAGGAGGATTGAAATTTATAGAAAGAAAGAGAGAGAGAGAGAGAGAAACAGAGAGAGGAAGGCAGGCAGATCCATTCAGCCTTATAAATTAATTCAGTTAAAGGTTGTATGTCATAAACTGGCATACAAATATCTACCTTTCCTGAAAGAAAGCCAGCTGCAATAGAAGCAAGGTTTGAAAAATCTGAAACAGCCGGGCGTGGTGGCTCAAGCCTGTAATCCCAGCACTTTGGGAGGCCGAGGCGGGTGGATCACGAGGTCAAGAGATCAAGACCATCCTGGTCAACATGGTGAAACCCCGTCTCTACTAAAAATACAAAACATTAGCTGGGCATGGTGGCGCGTGCCTGTAATCCCAGCTACTCAGGAGGCTGAGGCAGGTGAATTGCTTGAACCCAGGAAGCAGAGGTTGCAGTGAGCCAAGATTATGCTGCGGGACTCCAGTCTGGGTGACAGAGTGAGACTTCGTCTCTAAATAAATAAATAAATGCAGGGAATTACAGTCCGGACACAGTGGCTCACACCTATAATGCCAGCACTTTGGGAGTCTAAGGTGGGTGGATCACTTGATTCCAGGAATTCAAGACCAACCATGGCAAAACCCTGTCTCCTCTAAAAAATAGGCATGGTGGCCCATGCCTGTAGTCCCAGGTACTTGGGAGGCTGAGTCAGCAGGAGGAACATTTGAGCCCGGAATGTGGAGTTTGCAATGAGCTGAGATTGTGCCACTGTACTCCAGCCGGGGTGACAGAGTGAGATCCTGTGTCAAAAAAAAAGAGAGGGGAATTACAGAGATTGTTTTTGCCTTGATAAAGATCAGTGCATGATTTGATTTCTACTGAGTAAAAAGTGAAGGTAATCATAAGATTACCTTGGTTTTAGAACAGGAATCCAGTAATGATTGAGAGTAACATGGGAACACAACAAATAATACGTAAAAATTAAAGGAAGAAATGGTGTTTAAAGCTTTATATTTTACAGATTGGCTTCAAATTTTTCAAGCTCCCAGGTTGAAATAATTTTCCAAACTTTACATTTGGAGCCCTGTCTTCACAGGATTCAAGACTTGGAATTTCTCCCGATTATGTATAAGTTAGGTATCTGACTGTCCTCCAGCATAGTTTTTCTATTTTTTTTTTTTTAAAGTCAAATGTTAAATTGCTTTTTGATATTTACAAGCTGCTTCAGTTTTTTTGAACTTTTGCCATATTTTAAATGGAAAACTTTTAAATATGGCAATAGTGCTTCCTTGTCTCCTAACAGAATTTCAAGGTAAAAATAAACTTGGCTTTTGTCTTGGGAAATAAAATAGCCCTCAGAATGAGGATCCTACCTATTTAATCTCATGAAAGGAAAATAGAAGCATTTTCTTTGGCAGCAGTTAGTTTCTTTTCATCTGGGAGTCTTGTTTGTCCCTTCTAGAGACCATATTAAGTATGGTTAGTTATCCTGGAGAAGAATGTTTGGCTTTCAGACAGCAGCAAGCAATAGACATTTGGTTTTTGTTTTGTTTTCCTTTTTGAGAAGGTCTTTTGCTCTTGTTGCCCAGGCTGGAGTGCAATGGCAAGATCTCGGCTCACTGCAACCTCCACCTTCCAGGTTCAAGAGATTTTCGTGCCTCAGCCTCCCAAGTAGCTGGGATTACCGGCACCCACCACCACGGTTGGCTAATTTTTGTATTTTTAGTAGAGTCAGGGTTTTGCCTTGTTAGTGAGGCTGGTCTGAAACTCCTGACCTCAGGTGATCCACCTGCCTCAGCCTCCCAAAGTGCTGGGATTATAGATGTGAGCTACTGTGTCCAGACTAGATGTTTGTTTTGAGTGTGAATGCTTCCAAGGTTACCTGTTTTGGAACAAATAGGACTTAATAAACTGTGCTGGAGTTGCCAGATGGTTAGGGATGACTTCTAAAATTTGTATTTCTGAACTGTGGAAAGCATGGCAAGATACTGTTGTATAAGGCCAGTTGGTCCTATGACAAAATCACAAAGTAGCTCAAGGGTAATGGGTGGCTTGTGTCAAACTTAGTTTTTATGTTTTTCACCATATGTGAATAAGCCAGCTGATTGATTCAGTAACTTTATGTTTTATTTGTTTTAGAGATGAGGTTTCACCATGTTGGCCAGGCTGCCTGAGGTGATCCACCCGCCTTGGCCTCCCAGAGTGCTGGGATTACAGGTGTGAGCCACCGCGCCCGGCCGATTCAATGACTTTAAAAAAATTTTTTTTTTTTTTTTTTTGTATACAGAGTCTGGCTGTCCTCTAGGCTGGAGTGCAGTGGTGCGAGCTTGGCTCACTACAATCTCTACCTCCTGGACTCAAGCCAGCCTCCTACCTCAGCCTCCCAACTAGTGGGGACTACAGGCTACAGGCTACCACATCTGGCTAATGTTTCTTTTCTTCTTTTTAAGATGGAGTCTCACTCTGTTGCCCAGGGTAGAGTGTAGTGACATGATCTCCGCTCACTGCACCTTCTGCCCCCTAGGTTCAAGTGATTGTCCTGCCTCAGCCTCTCATGTAGCTGAGACTACAGGCGTGTGCCACACTGCCTGGCTAATTTTTTTTTTTTTTTTTTTGAGATGGAGTTTTGCTCTTGTTGCCCAGGCTAGAGTGCAATCTTGGCTCACTGCAACCTCTGTCTCCCGGGTTCAAGCGATTCTCCTGCCTCAGCCTCCTGACTAGTTGGGACTGCAGGTGCGTGCCACCACACCCAGCTAATTTTTTTGTATTTTTGTTTCACCATGTTAGCCAGCCTGGTCTCTATCTTCTGACCTCGTGATCTGCCCACCTCAGTCTCCCAAAGTGCTGGAATTACAGTGAGCCACCGTGCCTGGTGTGCATGCATGCTTGCATACATGTGTGTGTATGACAGAGTCTTGCTCTGTGGCCCAGGCTGGAGTTCAGGCGGACGATCTTGGCTCATTGCAACCTCCACCTCCCAGGTTCAAGCAATTCTCCTGCCTCAGCCTCCTGAGTAGCTGGGATAACAGGTACCCACCACCATGCCGAGCTAATCTTTGTATTTTTAGTAGAGATGGGGTTTCACCATGTTGGCCAGGCTGGCCTGGAACTCCTGACCTCAGGTGATCCACCTGCCTTGGCCTTCCAAAGTCCTGGGATTACAGGTATGAGTCACTGGGCCTGGCCCTTTTTTTTTTTTTAGAGAGGGATTTTTGCCACGTTGCCTATGCTGGTCTTGGAACTTCTGGCCTCAAGCAATTCATTCACCTCGGCTTCCCAAAATGCTGGGGATACGTTGAACCACCACCCTCTGCTTCAGTGACTTTTTTTAGTGACTATAAGAATGATTTAGTGGCCGGGCGCGGTGGCTCAAGCGTGTAATCCCAGCACTTTGGGAGGCCGAGGCGGGTGGATATGAGGTCAAGAGATCGAGACCATCCTGGTCAACATGGTGAAACCCCGTCTCTACTAAAAATACAAAAAATTAGCTGGGCATGGTGGCACGTACCTGTAATCCCAGCGACTCAGGAGGCTGGGGCAGGAGAATTGCCTGAACCTGGGAGGCGGAGGTTGCGGTGAGCCGAGATCGCGCCATTGCACTCTAGCCTGGGTAACAAGAGC